TCCTGTATCTCGCCAGGGTGTATCTGTTGACGACTGTATTCTCTGGACTCGATTCCTGTATCTCGCCAGGGCACGTCTGAAGAGTTTAAAGATTCGATTCCTGTAACCAGCCAGGGCACATCTACATAAAGAGTTTGAAGATCAATTCCTGTAACAGGCCAGGTAATTATTGTTCTTTTTCAGGTACGCAAGTTCTCGCTAAGGAAACTCTTACGCGATCGACACCCAGATGGCATCTATAAGCCCATCCACATACCAACAGTCTCCAAATGGCATCTATAAGCCCATTCCCTGCATCACACTGCTGACACTCTACTATGTGAGTGCAAATTTCTGGGCACTCTAGTGTTCAATCATCTTCCACCTTCGGATTACGAAAGGCTCGTCAGCCAATCTACATCCTCAGGTCTAAGAAGATTGAACAGGGGCAACTGTTGTACCCCAAAATTTTCCCTCCCATATTATTCAAGATTTGTCAAGATCAAGGTTCAAAATCTCTCAAGGGTTGCACAGTCCAATTGCCTCCTAACACAGTCAAAATTAGGGTTTTGGTTCTTGCAAAGAAATTGAAGTTTTCAAGGGTCCAAACAAGTCCCACATGCCCATATACATTGTTAAGCATCCACATGCCAAGTTTCAGGACTCACAGCACCAGATTGCACAGTCAAAAACCCTAAATGCTTCACAGTCAACTGCAGGGGCAAAATGGTCATTTGACAGTCAAAAGTCAAAATTTTTGGTCAACATCTTATTTTGAAGCCACAAACATCATTTGATCAATTCTTGATCATGATTCTCAAAGCATGGCTCAAAAAGTCTCAAGATGCAAAAGTTTCTATTTTTGGACAGTTGAAAAAGTCAACTGCAAATTGACCAGGGCATAACTTCTTCATGGTTTATCATAAAAATCCCATCCAAAGCTCATTTTGAAGAGAATGACATTTCCTACAACTCATCTTCACACTTAAAGTCCAAGAAATGCTCTCACAAAAAGTTATCAATTTCAACATTATAGGTCATTTTCAAAAGTCAACAAAAAGGCACTTTACGTCAAAGACCATAACTTGAGATTGGTAAATGAAAATGACATGGGACCAAAGACATTGGTTAGAGGACTTCAAGACCTTTCCAAAATGTCCAAGAACATGATCATATCTTCAAAATTGAGCAAGATATGCCTTGTAGAAGTTGGGAAAGTTTTGGGAATTTTGAAAAGTCAACTTTGTTTCAAATGCCTCAAAATTGCTAATGGGCTTCAATTTCTTCCATGAATCATTACCCAAAGGCTATGCACGACCCATTAAGCTAAAAGGGAGTTATTTTCTTATTTTTAATTAATTAATTGAATTTTTAGTCTTATTAATTCATTTAATTAAATTTAATTATGAGAAAAATACTAAACAATGGTTTCAAATCTCTTTGTGCAGAGAATTCACTCATTATGTGCTAAGGATTTCGTTTCACATTCAAAAAGGAAATATCTTTCACAATTGGCAAGAGTTTCAAGGCAAAAAGATTGAAAAAGATTGGATTTTATATGATTGGAAATCAAATATCAAAATCATAAATGGATGGACTTTGGGCTGGTTTTCTTGACCTAATTCTATTCACTTACTTATGCACAATTGAAACCTAAGGCATTAGACACAAAAAGCTGCGCAGAAAACAAAGAACCAATTTGCAATTTTTTCCAAAACCTTGAAACTGATTTCGTACCTAGAGCATAATTCAGAGCTTCAAAAGCATTAAAACACATTCCTGACATTGCTAGGAAGCATTTGCAATCAAAACCAAAGCTCTAGACCTCACGAAGTGGTAGAACGACATCACACTTTTCTTGAACTTTTTCATTATCGTGTTTCAATTTACATGCATTTTTCATATGTTTTAAATGTTGATTTACACTAATATGGATGTCCTGAAGCTAATGGTACCCTTGAATTGAACTAAGAAGGCCTGTATCAAAAGTTGCCATTGACGTTCGCTAGGGTTTCAGAGCTCCAGATTTGGGGTTTTCTTCATATGGAAAAATTGGACAACCACACCTATGCCATTAAACTCGTTGCAACTAGACGAAGCTAGTCATAACCTCGCGCTCAATTTATGATAAACCATGGGCTATTCACTATTTTTTGCAGGTTGTGTTTATTGGGGGTTTAAAACCCCTGCTATTTGTTTCTATTATAGGGACAAAGACGGAGAATATGCTAGCGTGTCTGAACGTGGTTGGATGGTTTGAACATTGGCGCGTTTTTTGATTGCTTCAGCGTAATATTGTTTTTTTATATATATTATTCATGTTCCATTTAATTGACAAAGAGACTTAATGGCTCAGTTGGTGAATGAGATATCCTGCAGGCATTGGGACCTGGGTTCGATTCCCAGGTCCCCTATCATATTTCATGATTTTTTTCCATAACATGTTTCCACGCAGCGCTTCATCCAAGGTTCACCATACGCCTTCACATACAGGCTTGCCACATATGCATGAGGATCAATCCAATGGCCATAACGTGGGTTCCACCATGCACGCTAGTCAACCACTCCACATGCAAGTTGGAAAGTCAACACAGGCCTTGCATTCTTGGGCCAAAAATCACTTCAACTCACCTCCAAATTGGGTCAGACACCCCCATGGTTTTTGCACATTTTTTATTCTTATTTGATTTTCTTTCTTAATTCTTTTAGTTGTTTTTTAATTATTTTCTTTAATTTACCAAAAATAATTTTCACAATAAAAAAATCAGATACAAAAAATTAAAATATGTTTAATTATATTTTATTTCACCATTATTTATTTTGTAAATAAACCTTAATAATTAACTAGTTAAATTAGGTTTTCAATTTTAATCTTTTCTTAAATAACTAAAATATGTAGAAATTAGGGTTTTTAGCATTTTTATCATTTTTCTTAATAAATAATTTTTTCTTATTATCATTATTATTAATCACTAATTTATTTTGTAAATAACCATGTAATTAATTAATTAGTGTACATTAGGTTAAACTTGAATATTTTTTCATAAATAATTAAAAACAACTTAGAACTAGGATTTCATTTAAATTCTAATTTTAATTAATTTTCTTTATTCACATTAAATACCAAAAAACCAAAAAAACTAAAAAACATTCTTTTCCTTTTATTAAATAATTAATTAGCTTTTTAATTTCATTTAATTTCAAAAGGGTCCAACGCCCTCAAACATTCGATTCTAATTTTTTTTCCCGCGTTTATTCTTATTTATTTTCTTTCAAATATTATGTAATTGCTCAAGCCTTCTAATTTCTTTTGCATTTTATTAAAAAATGGGTCTTTGTTAATTTGGCGATGTATAGACCCGCGCCTTGTAATAGCGTAGGATTTTACTTTCCGCACTTTAATTTCCGCACTTTTAAATTCTAAACTTTGCATGAAAGAATGAATGGCCTAAATTAAAAACAATGCGTAGCTCACGATACAATGATCAAAGACAAATATTAAACTGAAAACAACACACAAGTTCACACACCACTCTTAGGGTACGCCTCATTGTTGCCTTGCCTTCGAAAAGTGGTCGTCGAGTATAGGACGTTTTAGTAAGTCCTTATGTCCATGATCTATGGCATAAGGGTAGCTTCTAAAGTGTCCTACTGTTGCTCTGGTGACCACACTGTCCTTACAAACTCAAATTGACCCGAACACCTCTAACGGTGGTGCTACCTACCTCTCAATGGTGGGATGGCACTACCTTAGGGACTTCTACACAGCCTAATTCCTTAGGGTAGGTAGATGACTCATAGATACTTGCTCTATTCAAAAACAATCAAAAACTCTTTTCACACCGACACTTTTCAAAAAGCTTTCAAAACAATTTTTCAAACACTCTTGAGGACTGATACAAGAGTCGATCTGAAATCTTTAAACGAAACTTTTTCAAGCCCACTCACTTTGAAAAGCAAACAAACATTTTGAAAACACAAATGAGCAAGTATCTAAGAGCCCATGGATAACCATGGATAGAAAGGGTGCTAACACCTTCCCTTTCTATAAATCTACCTCCCGAACCGAGAGACAATCTCATAAGGAATTTTGTTGTGCTTTTGTCCTATCCATGTTGGAGAAAATAAAAGACGGTGGCGACTCTTGCTTCCGCGACATTTCGCGAACCAGCGTTAAACAGTCAGTTCCAGATCCACCGATCACAGTATGTTCACGCAATAAAATTCAGAAGAAGTTTTATCAGTTCATAAATCAGAGCAGAAACAAGGAATCTCTTAGCAGGTCAAGTTCTTTGGAAGATAATCAGAATAAAGAATAGTTGCAGAATCAGGAAATGAATCTCAAAATTTCCCAACATTTAACAAATAGTTTTTAACAAACCAAACAGAATACCCAACTAACTTTCTCACCCATGACAGAATGCTAACAGGTTTCTAACTGCCCATAACAATTTCTAACAAACTTTGTAACAAACTTCTAACAAAAGGCGGAAACCGAGAAAAGGAGAATTCAGTTACAGATTATAACAGCAACAGAATTACATAACAAAAAAAGACTCACCAATTTGAGGGCTCTCTTCACTCTCTTTGAATTCTCTTCTCATCCTCGTCTTCATTTTTTCTTCACTTCATCAGAAGAATCACAAAAAGCCAAAAAGAATTCTCTCTCTCTCTGAACTGGCGTAATTGCAATCTTCATTCTTCACTTTTGCAATAAACAGAAGAATCACCAACAGAAAAAAAAAGGCCCTCTAGTCCATTTCCACTCCACCTTCATCTTCTTTCTCAATTCATCAACTTTGGTCTACATCCTACAACTTTCATTCCTCAATTTTCACCTTCAACCTCAGCAAGCATCATCATAATAAATCGGTAACATCACTGCACTTCCAATTTCTAATCATCACCAAAAAGGTCAGCAAGAAACTATTAATCTTATCACTGCAATCTCTGAGTTCTCTTTGCTTCAATCATTCAACCTTAATCATCTTCATCCTCTAAAAAATAGAAAAGACCTCTCTCTATCTATCAGCCTCTTCGACCTTCTCATCACCATCTTCAGCTCTCTCAGCTTTGTCTGTATTATCACCTTCTTCCATCTTCAAGAATCGCCTCTCCGCAACTGATTCTTTCCACTGCTTCAATCCGTGAACCGCGCGTTCATCATCATCATCATGACAGATTCTTTAGATGTTCATCAGTGATTCTGTTTAACCTTCATTATCGATAATTCTATCTGCATTAATACTGTAAATCACAGTTCTTCACAGACATACACATCGCACAGAAATCTGAAAGAGAGAGTTGCAAAATGTTAAATCAAAAGGATCGCGAAGAAAATTCGAGGATAAATGAGTTTTTAGGGTGATGCATACCTGATTCTCCTCTCGCATAACTTTCTTGGATTTCTCAGCACCAACAGCGTAGTTGAAGAACCACCGGATTTCCCTGGTAGGTAAATCTCTTTTACTCACTTCTATGATTGTTTGTTCTGGTTGAAACTGCAAAATGAATCGTGAATGGAAGCGGAGGAAACAAAATCGCAAGTGTTGAAAAGAACAGAAGGGAATAGTGATGGACAATAGATCGTCGCGACAAAGGTTGATCAGGAGATTTGGCGGAGGTAGTCACAGCGAAGACTGAGGATCGTCGGAAGAGATGAGGTTCGTGGCGCATTTTGTTGAGAAGGAGAAGAAGAACTTTCTTCGAGAAGCTAAATCGTCCCCTTTCTGAACCCTAACACACCACAAAACACGGTCGTTTAGGAGTTTCTCATGTTTTCAATTATTTGATTTTCTGTTTTGTTCTAGATAATCATAATAATGAAATAAGGCTGGAGTTGTTTGGGCTTAATGTTTGTATATGCTCAACAGGCCCAGCAATTTTTCTTTTTTGGTTTTTTCTTTCTTATATTGTTGTATGGGCCTAGCATGTGAGATCCTGGACTGTATCCCCTTGACTTTAGCATAACACCCCTCTGAGTTTAATTTTATCTTTTAAATTTCCATGACATCTTTTCCCTTTTTTTTTGTTTTATAATTGATGATAAAAAATAATAATAATACAAATCAAATATAAAAATTTGTTAGATTCTTTTTATTTGGTTTTAGGAATTTAATCTCGATTATTCGATTATATTTGAGATTGGTAATTCACCTTTGTTTGTTGAGATTTGAGTCTAATGCAGGTTTATCGTGCAATATGCAAAGGCGCTTGAGATTTCGATTGTGATTTATTTTCACATCGATGATGCATCGACATTTATTCCGAGCATTTGATTTCTGATTCTTTTCTTTGATTGGTGAAGCTTTTCGTGAAGATCGTCGGGTTTCTTTGTTTTGATAGGCTTTGCTACGGATTGATATCTCTTTGGTATTTTCCCTTGTTTACCTCATTTCAGTATTTTACTGTTTTTTTAGATATCATGAGAAGTAGGAAATAAAGAGCGTGCGCTCGAAGTCGCTGTTTAAAGACCTGTAGCAGGCATTCCGCACTTCATTTGCCATATGTGTTGTGCTTGTGTTTGTTTACTTTCTTGTTGATCGATGAGTCACTCAATTTAGCAATTCAGATCACGACTTCGCTCTCAGTGCATGCTCCCTATAGGATTTCATCGCTTTCCTTTATTTCTTGTTGATCGATGAGTCACTCAATTTAGAAATTGAGATCATGACTTCGCTCTCATTGCATGTTCCCTATAGGATAGTTTTGTTAGACTTTCTTAGGTAATGGTAGCCTAGATAGATTCTCTCTAGTTGTGCTCACTTGAGCTAACTCTCTTGAGCTTATTGGCTTACCTGTTTGATTTCATCTTTGTGTACATAGTTTTAGGTGATAGACCCTTGCTATGCTCCTTTAGGACTTCTTGATTCATCTATAGATGATGAGTTGAGATAGACATTAGGATTGTTATCCAAGCATGTCAACATAGGGTAGAGATTTCCCTTCAAAACTCAACCATAGGACCATCATTGTATGATAACATTAGGGATAGATCTAGGTTAGTCTCCCTTAGATGTTTTTCTTTCTTTTGCATTCGTGCATTAAAACAAAAACTTCCTTTTTTTCTTTGAAAAAAACATTAAAACATCTAACAACTTCCAAATCCTTCTTCAAGGTAAAAGATATCAACCAATGCAAACTCTTTGGCGCCTTCGGGCTTTTTCTTTCAAACTCTTTTCAGAAAGAACATGTTAATTCACTTCTGTGTTGACGCGTAAGTCTCCAAAGGTCGAGTTACGGTAGAAGGTGAAATTAATATTGTTCATTAAAAAATACAAACCAACAAAAACTTGTTAGCCGAACTACGGCTGCTCTGATTCCTTAAAAGGGATACGTAGGCATTGGGGTAGGGCCCGAGCGAGCACAACAATTTTATTTTCCCTACATTCTTTTCTCCTTTCTTTTGCATGCATTCTCCTTTCAGTAGTATAGTAAACAATAAGCATAGATTAAACACACCCATTAGATAGAGAATAAGAGTGGATACTGTAGAGTACTATGGGCGTGTAGGGTGCTAATACCTTCCCCTCGCGTAACAGACTCCCTTACCCTTACCTCTTGGTCGTTCGACCTTGATTTCACCCTTCTCAGGTTTACTCGATGTTTACCTTTCCCCTCTTGTGGGATAAAAAACGTTCGATGGCGACTTCATTGATTTCATTATCAGTTGATTGTTCAGCCGGTTGTTTTAGCTGGCGACTTCACTGGGGATAGATTTACCTATTGCTGGTCCATCCCGGAGTCGATCCTAGCTCTTGTTTTCTTTTCCTTGGGTGTTTATTTTTATGCTTTATAGCTTGTTCATTTTGTACATGTTTATTTGTGCATGTGTTTGCATTGCATTTTATTGCTTTCGATATTGGTGATACTGCTATGTTGGCTATGTTTTCATGATTGGGTGGGTGTTACCAAGAGGTAAAAGGCCCAATACCCATGCCAAGTGACAACTCTAGGAACCCTAGGAATAGAGTGGAACATGAACGGCTAGTTGACTTAGGTTTCACTATTGCCGCCATGTCATCCACGCTCAGATGAGGTACAAATGGGGGACTACCGTTTTCACATAGGTGATATGGCGATAGTTTTTCAGGAGTACCCTCGATTTTGGGTTACCCGACCTTACCCTGACCTATTTTTCACCCGTGAGAGGGGAGGGACTTGATTATTACAGGTACAGATGATGACTATGTTCTGATAGTGATTGTTGTTCTGTTTGTGACTATGTGGGTCTCAGATTTATTTTTTTAGTTTCTGGATTCGGTATTCAGGATGGTTCTTTGGTTATGTTATGGACCTTTGATCCTGATATATTCATCTTGTCCAAAGATTATACAACGTTTATTCATGGTACTTGGTTCCATTGTATGCTGAAAGTGGTTCTGAACCTTTGACCCTGTGATATTCAGATTATTCAGCAGATTTATACGTCAATTATCCAGAGGATTGTACAGTTGTTATGCTGAACTTTTGAACCTATGTCATTGCACCTTGCATCATAGAATATTTATTTTACACACACACAAAAAGTGAAAGATTATATGTATAAAAAAAAGATGTTTGAACATAGCATTGCATCCACTCATTCACCTCGTGTATCTTCGTGCATCTTCATGCATCCATAACAGGTACTCATAAGGTACTAAGAATGGGGAATCCTTATTCGGACTCAGTATTTTCTTTTCAGAACTGCCAATCTTGACTTATCACTGCTTCGTGATCAGATTCAAGTTATGAAACAACTTTGTGGGGAATTGGATGAGATGAAAAGAATCAGATGGGGCTGTTTATTGGGGATATGCAAGCGATGGCCTGTAGTCAGAAATCCTCAAGGGGAAAATAGCCAGTTGAAGACTTAGTTGAGTCAGGTATGGAAGTTTTGAAGACAGTGTCAGCAAAGAAAAGTGATCTTATATACGTTGTTGCAACAGGAGCTGTCATTCATCCCCAGCCTATGGGACATTTTTTCAAATCATGAGATACTCTGTGGGTCTCACCCAGAGCTTTGTGTTCTCGGATTTTCTTGCTAGCAGCTAGTTTATGGTCTCCAAGTGAACCCATGGGGTAAAACTTACCAGCAGAGACAAAAAAAAGCTTGAGAAGCAGGTTGATACAATCTCAATGCCTTGTATCCAGTTGCTTCTTCGTGTGTTGGAAGCTCAGTTGATTAAGCTTCGTGCTTTGGGTCATCCTCCAACAAATTTCTCCCCTAATTTCGATGCAAATGCTAGATGTGTCTCCCATTCTGGGGCACTTAGTTAGGATATTGAATACTGCAAGGGGATGAAGTATGAAGTTTGGTACTTGTTTGGCTTCTTTTCCAAGGTTCATTCCATGTTTGGAAAACCATTTCAGACTCTTTTTCCTCAACTGGATGCTTCTTATGTGTAAATATAAGATGGGGTGATGCTTCTGTGATGAAGAAGTATAATATATCGAGTTCTTGGATATCTGCTGTTGTGTAGAAGAAAAATACCTCAAAGGTCGAATTCTATATTCAGAATTTAGTTTCTTCTGTGTAGTAGAAGATTCTTTGTTACAGTTTGTGAATTTTGCTTCTGTGTAGTAGAAGACGGAGACTCTTTTGTGAGTGAGGAGATTCTTCGTAATTCGGTTGCTAAAACTTCTCTCTTGTGAAGTAAGAGATGAAGTTTACTTTATTTTGTGTAGTAGAAGACAAAGACTCTTTTATGAAGTAGAAGATTCTCCGTAATTCGGTTGCTAAAACTTCTCTCTTGTGAAGTAGGAGATAAAGTTTACTTTCTTTTGTGTAGTAGAAGATTCTTTGGTATGGTTTCCGGATGTCGCTTCTATGTAATAGAAGACGTCGCTTCTTTTGTGTAGTAGGAGACGCTCCGGAATTCAGCGGCTGGATTTCTCTTCTGTGTAGTAGAAGATGGTTGGCATTTCTTCTCTATGGTAGAAGATACTTTGTGATGCAATTTATGCAAGTTCGCTTGATAAAGCCTTCATCACATATGGTGAAGGAATTTGATGTGATTACCATACTGGGGTGTCTGGCCAGTCAACTGAATATTGTAAACCATTCAGAGATGAAGTGTAAGACTTGCTTGATGCAAAGGCTATCAATTTCGAGTCAGACAGTCAGATTTGAGGTCTCCCTTGACTAAGTAAATGTCAAGACTGGCAGATCATCGTCCGAAGCAACAAGTCCATACAGAGACTAGTCTCCTCAACATGGAAATTTCAAATTACATCTGCATTCTCATTTGCAATCTCTCTTGTTTTGGTTCAGTACTTTCTTGTATGCAAAACTTACTTATCATTGAATATTAATCATAAAGCATCGAATATGTTTGTCTTGAATTAATCCATTCGTATTCACTCATTAATGTTTTTCTTTGACTTTTGGATACTTAACTCTTGTTAAATAAAGCAAAAGAACTTCTGGAGGGAGGATGATGAGTAATATACCAAACATTTCGAACGATGTGCTTTTGAATAAAAACCTTGCTGACGATGTACAGGCCTTGTTTCAATTCCTAAACACTGGAGATATAAGGGAGATAGACCCTCGTCAACCCCTTTGAGCCTTGAAGTATGAGTTTCTTTTCTTTTCAGAAAAACCCTCACATTTAACCCGGGGCAGGGTAGACTTCAGTTGATCCGATCGAGCGTTCAGAACTCATCAGGAGTGCGCACCTAAGGATACAATA